TCACGTCTTATATGGTTCCTGAGAGAAAAGGATCCACTAGCCAGAGGAGTGATGTTATGGAGGCAGAGGTTTCAAAAGAGAGAGAGGTCTAGGGAGGAAAACCTTCAGGGAGAAGGAGAAAACCTAGCTTTGGCAGGAAAAAAAGGGGAAAAGGGAAGGGAGAGGTAAAAGTAAAAGAAAAGAGTATATAGAAGAGAGAAGAGAAGATAGGGGAAGGGAAATAAGGAGGTATGGGGAAGGGACATAGAGAGAAAGGAAAAGAGAAGACGAAAAAAAAGTAAACAACTCAAAAATTTCCTAAAAAGGAAATTTTCAAATGTAGAAAGGGGAGTGGGAAAAAGTTTTTTAAAAATTCTATTAATATAATAAATTTTATATAATATATAAATATAAAATATATATAATATAAATTTTTAATAAAACAAGATTTTAATTAATATTTAAAATAAATAATAGAAGATTTATTTTAATTTTAATTTTTTATAATAATATTAAATATATATATATATATATTTATCTTTAATAAAATTTAAATAAATAAATAAATAAATTTTTTAAGAACTAAGTTGCAATACACATATGAATTTTATTGATGAATTAGTTATAATTACAATTATTTATACATGAACAGTCTATTAACTATTGCTAATTAAATATTATCTTTATGATTTATTTTATTAATAAAGTTTATAAAACAAGTTTTATTTAATATAAACAAATTTTTTTTATTATATAATATTAATTATTTTGAATTATTTGAATATAATTTTTAAATATAATTTAAAAGTTAAAAGTTTTATTTTATTTACTAAAATTTATATAAAAATCAATATTATTTATTAATATATTTGTTTTTTTTTTATATTATAACTTGTAATTTACTTAATAAAACTTATTATAACTATCTGTTATTGATTGATTTTTTTTTTTGCTTGGAGATTGTTATATTGTTGTATACTATTTTTGTTAATTCAAAAAAGAACTTAATTATTTATAAAATAAAATAAAATTTTAATTTAAAATAAGGTTTATTTCTTTTGCTTTACGATTTGATTTTTATTGTTTTGATCAATTTATTGTTGACATATAAAGTTATATATTTGTAAAAGAAATTTTTGATATAATTATTAATTAAAATTTTACAATATAATATAATATACTATATTTATTTATTTATTTTACATGTAAAAAAAAAATTAATTTTTTGCTTTTAATAATTATATTTTATCACAATAAATTGCTCTCAAAACCTACTTATTAATTATATACCCAAAACTTAATATTATGATTCATATTTCATATTTCATGTTAATTGCAATACAACTAAACTTAAGTTTATCGGCAAGAGCTTGAAGTCATTAACTTTTTATATATTGCAAAAAAAGTATAATTACATTGACGAAATAATGTTTATTGTGTAATTATGGATAAATAAATTAAGAAAGATATATAAATACAATAAAAAGATATCTATTCTAGAAATACTATGAGTATATGAAAATTGACTGAGGAATATGGTAATTGATCATTTATTCACCGAAAAGACGTTGTACACGCTTCAGAACACTATCTTTCTCTGGATCTAAAAAAGATGAGACAATTTTAATTAGCTCCGGAATGAATAATTGTAAGTAACTTGTTAAATTACCATATGGATGATCTTTTGATGGGATTTCAAGAATAGTAGGAAATGCCTGATCATATTCATCCACTAGTTGACGGATATCCTCAGCGACCTGTTGAAATCAGTACATGAATTAAACTAGTAATTTGATTTGAAAACAAACTTGAAAATACTTGCATGTTGATTAATTAAAATTATGGCAATGTCTTTTCTTTTAGTGAAATCAATGAACGTTTCCTCAATTTTTGATAAAGGTGTTTCTATGAAATAAGAGATTAATCGAAGATAATAATGATAAAAAACAAGCTTTAAATATAGATCGCCTTACTCGAATCGACGACTAAGAAATTTTTTTGGGTGCCATCAACATGACCTATGCCGGCTAACAAAAGACCCGTAACCGAATCCTTTAAAGAAGAAAGACGTTTTGAAATAAGTAAAGAAAATAATACAAAAGGATTTTCGGAGAACAAACAGTATTTACCTCATCGCCTATAACAGCTATAAAATTGCGATCTTTGTAAGATTGAGTCGTCATGAGTGAAGAGAGATGAATACAATAAATGATTATCGTCACAAGATTCGGGTGTTTTAAAAAACACGTGGAATTAATTTAATAGTTAAACATAAATATTAACATTTTTATGTAAACTTGAAATTTGGCATTTATACGTAGTCAAAATTTGAATATATGATATATTTTCCTAAATGCATCTTTGGAATTATAAAATTTAGAAAAATAATTAAAGTAAAAGAAAGGTTTGTTATTAAAAAAAGAATTAAGGTTTAAATAATTTCAAAAAATTAAGATATACAATATTTTAAATCATTTTTTATTACTTATAATTATTTAAACTATTTGATTTAAAAATGTTTTATAAAAAAAATATAATCTTCTAAAATTATTGCTTATATAACTAATTTAATTATTTTTAAAATGATAAATAAGTTTCTAAATTTTTGTTAGATTAAAATATAATATATACAGTATAATGCAAAACAATAATAATAATTTTTTTATAATTTAACATATTTTTGAAAATATAATAAAAAAATCCGTTAAATAATTTACAAATAATAATAATAATTTTGTGATATATTTTATTTTAAAGTTAAAGTTATCACCAAAAAATTTGATTCAATTATTAAAAAATTACATATATAAATATTAAAAAGAATCAAAAAATATTTATATTATATTTTTATATTTTTATAAAATTTTTTTGCCTATTTTCACTTCTTTTTTATATATATAAAAAAAAAGTAAAAAAAATTTTTGATATAAATTTTTATTACAAAAATTAAATTATTTTAAAAAATATTAATATATTTATTTTTAT